CAAAACCCCAAAACCCCAAAACCCCAAAACCCCAAAACCCCAAAACCCCATGTGACTATTAAGTAAAGAAATTTATGATTAGATTCGAGAATAAAATAAATTAAGACTAGATATTGATACATTTACATTTCAAAAAAGGCAAGGCACGTGAGCCAGCTCAAACCAATGATGCTATCCATCAGTATCATTGGGAATTTAAGAAAAATGACATTTCGTCGAATGTGTTTTATCTCATGTTTGAGTTCGGATTCGTGAATTTTGTAATTGGATGCTCTAATAAGTAGTCGATTGATTTACATCTGTCATCAGGGTCTTCTTTTAAGCAGTCCCAGATGAGGTTCAGACCGTCCATAGGATATCCTGATGCTCTATGTATACTAAAGAATGCATTGAAATCACCTCTTCTAATGTACTTGTAAAGATTATCAGATAGTCTTGTACTTTGAAAAGGTGCTTATCGGAAAAGAATAATGTGCAGTATAACTCCAAGGTTGAAGATGTCTACCTTCCATGGAATATACTTCCTCCTATCTCGCTGATGTATTTCTGGTGCCATATAATTCGGAGTTCCGCTCAGAGAATCGCTTGGCTGGTCATATATTATGGTATGACCGAAATCAATAAGCCTTAAGTGGTAGTCATTGTCAATAATAAAATTATCAGGCTTAAGATCCAAGTGACTCAATAAATTTTTGACTGTAAGATCTCTTGCACACTTTAAGCATTCTTGCCATAGGTAATTTTGGAGTTGAGGAGACATTTTTATCTATCGCTTGTTAGATTTCATGATAAGGTCGAGAAGTGTCCCGTTTTCATAGTATGGCATTACAATGTAAGAATAGTTCCAGTATTATTAGCCTTCATAAACAAGAGGGTGCTTTATTTGATTTTTATCAACTGTTTCAAGCATGGAGACCAACCTGTTTGTGCTTATTCTGATCATCTAGTAGTTTGATACTTCAATTTTGTACTAAAGATAATCTCTAGACATGAAGACCTTCACAGCATATTCATGATTATCTCTGAGATCCAAAGCTTGAAAGACATACTTTTATTGGTGTTAAGAAGAATCAAGCCTTCTAATGATTTGAAATTTCTCGTCAATGGTAAAATTTGTAGGACTACGTTGCAATCACAGTTTCTGAACTAAACTCATCTCCTATTTCTAAATTGTTTATTCTGGAGACATCTCAAAATTAGGAGTGGGAGTTGATATGTCCATAATTTCTTCCTGGGGGGAATTTGATGGTTGATTGGTCATTTTGACCTCTTCCATATCAATGTTTTAATTCAAACTTTCTTTGTGAGTCCTATTGCTTTAAATCATTATTCTCAATTATATGATTCAAAATCCTTTGGATCTTTATTTTATTTCTGGTTTCTGACAAAAATGCAATCTTTTAAAATTATGGGGTTTTGGGGTTTTGGGGTTTTGGGGTTTTGGGG